GTTCGGCTCGGCGCGCCGGAGGCACCAAGTCCAGATGATTTGGTCCTTCTCTTCACGGCTGAGGAGCTCCATGTTCGGGAGCCGGGGGGTCGTCGCTAATCGGGGTGGGCTCGGCGGCCCGGCGATTTGAACGCGGACGAGGCCACGAAAGCTCTGCGGCGCATCTTCGGGAATGTCCTCGGGGACGAAGCCCGTCTGGCTCGTCCGGTAGAGGTACTCGTCGAGGGCGCCGGCGGGCGTGCCCTGGGCGTGGGTGGCGCCGCATGAGCCCATTTTCTACGTCGCCTTCAGCAGTAGATGTCAGAGAGACGAACGCAGGAGAGCCCATCCCACTTTGTGAAATTGCTGCCTGTTCAACAACATCGGGTCCTGCGAAACACCCCCGGCGACCTGTGTTTTGGTGCAAATGTGTTACGCTTCGGCCGTAACTCGGGCTGCGTCGCGCGCGCGGACGAGCCCTTTTGCCAGGCCCTGGACACCCTCTCGGGGCGGCCCTCCGCCGCAAGAACGGCGGAAATCGACTCGGGTGGCGCGTCGATGTCGTCGCTCAAAGACGCGATTCGGGGCCGATTTTTGCTCGGGACGACTTTTTGACCCTCTAGGGCTGCCCGCCGCGCGCCGCGGCGGCGCCAAACTCTGCCCGGGGTACCGCGACGGCCTCGGGAAGCTCTCAAGCGGGGCAAACGACGTCGATCGCGCCGAGAACGGCTGGGGGGGACTCGGGATTGCCCGAACCCCCGAAACGCGTCCACTCGAGTTCGCATCGATGACGGCGGTTCCGACGATCCCTGGCGGCTGCGGAGGCCGTCACCATCCACACCAAGACCTGCGAAGCTCTGGCTGCGACTCGGAGTCCCATCCAGGTCCCGCGCCACGTTGGCGTGCTCGGGCCGTTTTCGGCCCCCGAGACGCCATTTTTTCGTCGACGAGAAAACGCTGCGATTGTGCCATTTTTTTGTCTGGACCACCGAGTATGGTCATGGGGAGACGCGCGCGGGCCTTGAAAGCGCGAAAAACGACTCAAAAGTTGTCGCGTAAGGGCCAGTCCGGGGCTTGAAATCCGCCTCGAAAACCCGTAAATACCTCCCGAAACGCGCCGAAATGATCGAGCCCACACTAGCTGCGCTGCGTCAACCTGGGTCTGACCTAGGGCTCCCGCCCGGTGGTCTTGGTTTGCCGCCACACGCCCAGGACGTCGCGTAAGACGGCGCGCCCCATGCCCGGCCAAAACGCAGGTCGCCCTCGGCGTTTTGTGCAGCTACTGCCTCGCCACCGGCCTCGTCGTCGATCGTCGTGCGAGCGCGCGAGCGGACGCGCGCGCAACGTGACAGCCAGCGTCGCCGCACCGAGCCGCGCCTAGAGCACTCAACGCACAAAAAGCCGCACCGCGCGTCGGCACCGCGCCGCGCCGCACGCGACCATGGCGGAGCAGATCGTCATGCAGCGCAAGGTCGAGGGCGGCCCGCCGGCGCCCGCGAACCCGCTCATGCCCGTGGCCGCGGGCCGCATCACCGTGGGCAACCTCGAGCTGTCGACCATCGCGGGCGCCGCGCCGCCGCCGGAGCGCGACGGCGTCGACACGTCCGGGTCCGCCGCGTGGACCGGCGGCTGCAAGTTCGCGGCCGCGCTCCTCGAGCACCTCGTCTTCCTGCCGCCGGACTGCCGCGTGCTCGAGGTCGGCTGCGGCTGCGGCGTCGCCGGCATCGCGGTCGCGGAGCGCTACGGGGCCGCGACGGTGCTCCTGACCGACGGCCAGCCCCGGTGCCTCGACGCCGCGGCGGCGAACTTCGGCGACGCGCACCGGCCGCGCTGCTCGACGGCGCTCCTCGAGTGGGGCGACGAGGCCGCGGCGACGGCCGTCGCGACGGCGTTTAACCCGACGATCGTCTTAGGAGCGGACGTCGGCTACGACCCCGGATCGCACGCGAAGTGATC